TTTTTTTTTTTTTTTTTTTTTTTTCGTTGGTTAAGACAAGGCGGTTCTGGGTAACAAGTGGTGCGGTCGTTACCTGTGGAAATGCATAAAAGAATTCGCCAGGTCGATGCAAAATTACAATGTTTTTTTTTTTTTCGTAGGCAGTCTGAAGTCCACCACCCTCCGTCTCTCCCATCTCCGCCATTGGTTGACTTAAAAGGGATTTCAGGGTCTCCCTCAGAGGGGCCCCCATGATTATTGCCCTTAAGGCTGCGAGTTTCGTCATCAACTTGAACCTCTCCTCTGTCCATTCAAACATCCGACCACAACATGCGCATTTCCAACTTTGCGCGAAGAAAGTCAATGCATTAAAATTTAAAACCAAAGATGTTAAAATACTAGGCTACCAGAGTGGCCCGGGACCACATGCCCGGCCGGGCCAAGAAAAGAAAAAAGAAAAAATATATATATATACAGGGTTGCCAGGCCGAATGTACGGAGGCCCCTAAGCTGACCCCCGAACGTTCGGGCGTTCGGGTCCCCGTACGGGGCCCGAACCTGAAGGCGTTCGGACCCCGCAAAAAAAATATTTTGGCACCTAAATATATATATTTTTTTTTCTGAATTTTTTTTTGTGAGTTCTCTGTTATGTAAGGTATGTCCCTCTTAATTTTGAAGCTATTCTGTTCAGCCAAAAAAAATGAAAAATCGGCAAAGATGGTGGTGTCAAAACTTGCTTGGCCACTCACTAATTTGTTTTTTCTTTCTTTCCACTTTTTGTTTTTCCTTTATTTCGGGGCATGAAAAAAAATATTATTTTTTCAAACTTTATTTGTAGATTCTCTATTATGTAAGATACAGTGATACACATACAAAAAATTTCATGGCATTTGTCACAGCCAAAACAAAATGAAAAATCGCCAAAGATGGCGGTGTCAAAAACGTGCTCGCCCACTCAATAATTTCATTCTCATTTTAGTTTTTTTAATTTTCATTATTATTACTTATTTTTAGTGTTTGGTTTTTATTTCAAATTTGGTAAAGAATTTGGATGTAACGTTGAGGCAAATGTTGTTTAGTTTATTCTTCTGCATAACATTTTTTTTTTTCAGAGTTTTTGGATTTTT